CCCCCCCTCTCTCTCTCTCTCTCTCTCTCTCTCTCTCTCGCACGCGCACTTCCTTGTTCTTCTTGCTTTCGCTCTCCTTCTCTCTTTCTCCTTCCTCTGTCCATATATTGTATGCATATTCTCTGCACCTCTGTCTCACCTCTGTGGAGATGACGTTGCAATATCAGTTCTAGGGCTAAGGCGTTGTTGTCGGGCAGGTACGCCTGGAGCAGCACCTGCTTTCTCGAGGAGAGTCTGTCATCAGGAACTGTGAGGTCCTTCACAATCACCAGAAGGCCATCGGTGTCAGGTAGTGGCTCTGCTGCAACATTAGGATCTCTATATACATCCCCCGCTGATATGCAAATGTCCTAGTCTAGTTATAATTCAGAATAGAAGAATATATTTCATACACCAACAAATTCCATTTTTGTCAACGCCGGCTTACTTGATAAGTTTGCTATATGACGCCATGGTGAGCTAATTACGGTACCTACTCTAGAAACAACGCATTATCCATGACGATATAACCTGTGCCAATAAACGCCTTTTTCGCCGAATCTTTATTATTTTATAAGCCGCTTTATTAATATAATTAAGTTGTAATTCGACGATAAGGAAACGCAAACAGCTTGTCAGGCAGCTGTCATAACCTGATCCAGGTCACTGGCCCGATAAGGCTGCACCACTGATATAACTACTCAAGTTGCTATACGCAGAACCCGTTTTCCGATTTTCATCAAATGAGTTTAATCCAGGATGAGTAAGAGTTTATGAGAAAATACAGGCCGTACTTCCCTTGACTGCAAGATATCAATCTCAGCGAGAGCTTCTGACATATTATATCTGAACATTTTGTAAGGAAGAGGTTTGTCGTTCACGAATCGCAGAGCGAGTTGAGAATTTGTATCAAATGTAATACTACCCCTGTGAAATAACAAATAAAATGAACGTGCTCTATAGTAAAAGTGCAGTCTGTATATTTTTTGTAATCATCCACTTCGATTTTGAGGATGGGTGGCCCGGTTTAAAACATGGATCGGTGCAGTACCACCGGCGCATGACCGCAGGGCTGTACGTATAGCGTAGAACTTGCAACGTGCATCAAACCCTTGCCGTGTATAGATAGATTTATCGTCACTGTTCTAACACGCGACAGCGGCTCTAAATCGTATCAGCTTTATACCTAAATATCATAAAACCTCTATATGGCACCTAATCTGCACATCTCTTGCCGAAACTATAGCAAAACGTACCCGTCGCGGTGTGTGTTGCTGACGCGCCTCTAGCGTGGCTGTCCGTCATCAATATGTGTAGAACGGCTAGGAGAAGCAACGCTGTCTTACTTGACGCCTCCATTCAGCGCGGTCAAGCTACAACAGTCGAGTCGAAATCATAACCCGTGTTAAGTGGGCTGGAGTTAGAGGGAAAGAGGTGACATCGAGAGAAGGCAAGAGGTCATGAAAGACGGTGGATGAATGAAAGAAAGACTGGACATGGAGGAAAGACGGCGAATGAAAGAAAGACGGGACATGAAGGAAAGACAGTGCACGAAATATAGTATCCGTAAGTAGTGGAACGATAGACCTGGTCCACATATATGAGATACATGCGAGGTAACATGCGAGAGAGGAAGGCCATGAAGAGACAAAAAGAGAGAGAGAGAGAGAGGGGGGAGAGGGGAAAATATAAAGAGAGCAAGCAAGAGACGGAGGATGCGAGCGGCTTTCATACTGTTTATATTTACATTACTACAACCTACATAGGCTACTTGCCTCATTGGCTACGTGCTTCATTGACGACCTTACCATACGACGTACCTCTGCCTCCACCAGCTGCGTCGATGAGTATTGGACTGCGGATGTTGGATATCGTCAGTGGCAGTTGCTGTCTGGTCGTACTTCGTGCAGCCAGCTTACGAGACTGTAATAGAGCAAGTGAGTGAGTGAGTTAGGTGGACAGACGGCGGGGAAGGCGAGCGTATTACAGGGAATGAATGCACTGTCACACACACGCCCACCGGAGTCAACATGTGCGCGTTATAGCCAACCCACAGCTAAACTACACACGTAAGGAGAGAAAGTGGTCAGAAGTGGAATGCATCTGCATACAATACAATTTTATGCAGCTCTTCTAACACAGCCAGGTTTGAACCCGACCGAACCTCACTATCCCTACATGGCCTGATACGAGGTCAATATGAACTATTAGATCTTGATTATATGTCTACATCGTACTTTTTTTTACACACGCATGACTAGTGCAAACTTATATGCACGCACGCACGTGTACTATTAGCCCCGACCCCAGACAGAAAGAGAGAGAGCGAGAGAGAGCGAAAGAGAGAGAGAGACGGTCGATGGGTGGATTTAGGGGGTGGGGCTATAAGGTCCCCAAAGGGGAAGCGGATGATAAAATAATAAAACGGATTTAATTCACATAGCGATTAGGGTCAAATAAAGGCTAATTCTACACAAAATAAAATCACGGGATCCCATTTCATTTTTTGCAAACTTAAAAAGTTAAAAACTCGAGTTTAAAACATTTTAGCATGATATAATAGCTATATCTATAACTATAGATATATTATAGCAAAATATCATACTAGAGACGTTAGAGTAACGGAAATTTTTCCCCATAGGTCTTTCTCTGACGACTTACTGATTTTTCCCGACAGGGAATCAGAGATCTAAGCTCCCGCCGTCACCTTCAGTTAGAGCCCACGAATTATTGTAATAACAACGCTATATGTGTCAGGCAAGCTAACGCGGAAGCAGATTCGCTTCGCCTCCGAGTCTGCATATACATGCTCGTGCGACAGCGCAGTGTCGGGGTGGCGGTGTTGAAGTCATGAGGTCATTGGACTACCCGATGGGCTACCCACCATCGAGTAGATTTGTCCCTATACTACTCGTGATTCCTTGCTCTGAGCATCAGCTTTGCGCACGCGTGCAAATACGCGTGAGCCACTTTTACGTGCGTGCGCGCGCGAGTGTCCGTGCGCGTGCACGCATGTGTGTACGTGCGATTCTGTGAGGCATGAGCGCATGCGTGTACGTACGAGTATAGTCGTACGTGCACGAGTGCGTGTACGTGTTCTTGCCATATCTGTTCGTCGTTCGCATAGTTTTCGACGGCGTAGTGTGAAGATTACATCAGGAGTTAATAATGACATTATGTAATTATGACATTTGTCATTATTAACTCCTGATTACATGCTTAGAGATAGGATGATTATAATAATAAGGGATGGAATATCTCTGTAAGGACGTAGAAGGCAGGTAAAGTTAAATAAGTCACAAAGACAAAGGTTTGTTAGACAACTGGTCTGCCTCAGATGTGCAAGTATATGGAATCTGGTTACCCTAGGAGGCCGAAGAGGAAATGTAAGTCGACGGTCAAAGTCAAACTAAGGAAGAACAAGGGCAGTGGTGGTTTTGGTATGCGACAGACCTTCTCCCCAAGATATGTAAGCATACCAAGTTTGGACGCGCTAGGTCAATTTGGGGCCGAGTTAGAGAGCGGAAGGGAAATATGATCAAGGTCAAGGTAAAGGT